AAGTCAGGCTTGATTATCTGTTTCCTGACTTAAGGTCATTCAGCCTCTGATGTGTTTACTGAATCCACACATAAAGTTAAGCCCTAAACCTTGCCTTGGGAACAATGTCTGGATTCACCTACTTGATCCCTAAATCAAACAAAGCGGCAGGATGGCTTAGCTCGATGTCCTTGGCACTTTGTAGATCAGCAAAAGAAGCGCATTTCTCCCTCCCTTAGGCCCTCTGAAAAGATAATTTTAGGAAGGAAGGGAGGCACCATTGCTGTAGAGCAGAGGTGGGAAATTTTGAGAGGAGAAAATGTCCCTGCAAATAAGATTAATGCAATTTGCACACTAAGGATGAGGGGGAAACAATTGGCCAAGGAAGACGTTAAAAGAGTTTCTTTTACTTTTTGTGTTTTTTTTCCCTCTTTTCTTTTTATTTGCAGGGGGGTGGTTGATAGGAAGAAATGGGATATTGCTGCTGACATATTTTTATCAAAACAAGATAATTTCTCTTCCCCCCCTCATGCCCGTCTAAACAATGCAGTTAGGAGCTATTTTTACAAACGGTTGCAAATCAGCCAATAATTTAATAAAATAATGAATCAAAATGGGGTGGTAACAAAGAAAAAGAAGCAAAAGGAGGTGGGTTTTTATGTCCCTCTGATCATTCTCGGTATATTGTATAGATAAGTCCTTGACTTATGACCACAATTGAGGCCAAAATGTCTGTGGTTGAGTGAGACATTTGTTAAGTGGGTTTTGCAACTCATTTTACAACTTTTCTTGCCACAGTTGTTAAGCGAATCCCTGTGGCTGGTAAGTTAATAACCCAGTTGTTAAGTGAATCTAGCTTCCCTATTGACTGTGCTTGTCAGAAGGTAGTAAAAGGTGATCACATGACCTTGAGACATAGCAACAGTCATAAATATGAATCTGTTGCCAAGCATCTGAATTTTGACCACGGAGATGCTGCAAAGGTTGTAACTGGTCATAAGTCACATTTTTCAATGCTGTTGTAACTTTGAATGAACTGTTATAAGTTGAGGACTACCTGTAATCACTTTCTTCTTCTTTTTTTCAAAGAAATAATGGGAGACAAAAAAAAAAGAAAATAGGGGGCTATAAGTAAACTCTTCTGGGTGATGTTTTTTTATTGTAAATTGGAATTTGCTGTTTCTGACTTTGGGCATATCTTACTGGGATTCTTAAAAACTGAATAGTTTTTGTACACCACTGAAGTCACTACCGTGAATGGGGTGGCCACATCAATCATTAAAATACATTAAAAATGTGGATTACAATTCCTCCCCTCCTTGTGTTGGCCTATGAATACCATGATCAGTTGTTGATTCTGTGCCATTAAGTTGTTTTTGACTCCTAATGACCATATAGATAGATTTTCTCCATGACAATCTATCCTTAACCTGGTCCTTCAGGTTTTCCAATTGACTAAACATAAATATATAACCCGTCCTTGAAAATTTGATGGTGGGGGGGAGCCCTCTCTGTGACCTTTGCAATAATCTTGTTTTTGGGTTGCACAAATGAAAGTTTCCCCTTGGCTAAGCATCCCTGTCAAAACCAGCTTCATGCCATGTTGGGTGCATTCACACATGCTGGAACAACTCACTTTCTGGTTTCATTCGCCCAAGACATGGAGCCATAACAAACCAAGTGGCAGGTTTGCACAACACACTTCCCCCCCCCCCCCAAAAAAAACCCACAATCCCAAATGAATTCCTAACCCAATTCACCATCATGGGTGAATATGGATCATCAAAACCTGGCTAAAATGTTGTGCAAAGACAAAAAAAAACCTGAATTTGGCTTTGTTAGCCCTTTGAATGTCTACTTTTCCATTGCAGAGGGGGAAAAAAAGGGAAAAAAAACCCTGGGCCAATCAATATACACTCCACCATTTGGAAATATCTTTTCCAGAGGTTGCATAATACAGACAGAGGAACATATAGTCAGTTGCATGCATACATGCAAGACGTGCAAAACACACAGCATGCAACTTTTGAGCATGGCTCCCTTCGTGCAACCAGAATATTTTATTGCAATAACAAAAATGTTCAGGTAAAGAGTTTCCCCATTCAATTTTCTCCCGGGACAAAGTCTGGGGCTGCCTAAGCCTTTTTCTCCTCACACCTGGGCGTGGTGCTGAGGTGAAAAAGCAACGTTTCTGAGAGAAACAAAATTAGCTCTGGGACAGAAGAGGTTTTTTGTGGTTTTCGGGGGTTGGAAAAAGAGAAACAGCTTTTATTGTTTTTCTGAATAATTTGGGTTTTGGGACGTGGCGATGGCGGGGACTATTTCTTCTCTTCCTGCTGCGCGGAAGGTTATCGGAACTAACGCGGAGGGATCCACGAATCCTCTACATGCGGCTCAACCCAATTTTTTTGCGAAGCCCTCTCCGGACTCCGGTCGCGCAAAACGCGAAGAGGAGGGCGGGGAAAGAGGCGGGACCTAAAGCCTGGGGAGGGGGATTGATTTGATGCGCGCCGCGGCCAATCCGGAGCTTCCTTCTGCCCTCCTCAGCCGCCTCCCTCCCCTAGCGGAGTGAGCCCCCGTCGCGTCAGAGCGATGGGTCGCCTCTCCCGACACCAATCGCCGTTTGCTGAGGCCGCGAGCGAAAGGCGGGGCTTAAGCCAGGGCGGGAGGGGGAGGTGGAAGGGGGGGGAGAAGAGAAAGAGGCGTTCGGTGACTAAGCCCCCTCCTTCCTTTCCCCACTTTCTCCATTCCGCGCCGACGCTCTTTTGGATGGACGTCCGCGCCAGCCAACGGCGTCGCGCGCGGCGGGCGGAGCGTAGAAGAGGGGCGGGGCGGGGCCGGATCCGGGCAGCCAATGGCGGGTGCGGAGCGGTGAGGGGGCAAGCCAGCGAGAAAAGAACGAGGGCGGCAGAGGCGCAGCTCGGGGGCGCGGAGGTTGGTCTCAGGGGCAACGGGTGGCCGAGCGGGAGCGGCGAGGACCAGAGGCCGCGCAGGGAGGGAAGGAAGGAGCGGGTGGGGGTGGTGGGGTGAGGGCGGCATAGGCCCCAAAAAGCCTGGGCTGCGCGTGAGGTGAGGGTGGGGGTGGCGCCCACGCTTTGTTGTGGTGGGGGAGGGGCAGGCCTTCCCTTTGCAGGGGGAGGGGCGGCGATGAAAGCGGACGGGGGGGGTGAGAGAAAGAAAAAAAAATATGACCCCGCCTCCTCCTTTCAATTCCCTCCGCCCCCTTTTGCCCCCCCCCCCCCCCCCCCCCCCCCCCCCCCTTCCCCCGGCCGCCGGAGGGGCCGGCCCCTTTTTTTTTTTTCCCCCCCTCCCTCCCCACACACACGCCCTCCCCGCCCCCATTCCGGGAGCCTCGCTCCTCCTCGGGCGTCAAGCGTCAGGATCGCCTCCCTCCCTCCCTCGCGCGGCGCACGCTGCAGCCCCTTCGCCGCCACTGCGGGGTTGCTGCGACAGCCTCCCGGGCTGAGGCGGGGAATTCTGCGGGGCTGGGGGAAGCAACAGCAGCAGTATCAGCCAGCGAGAGAGCGGGGATCAGCAGCAGCAGCAGCATCTCGGCCGGCCGCTCGAGTGGCTCCGCTTCCCTCCCGAGGCAGGTTTTCCTCGCGAGGAGGAGGAGCAGCAGCAGCAGCAATTTTGGGCTTCCTTGGAGCTGGTCTGCAAAGTAACCCCCTTCCCCCCTCCTTACACTCATCCTTCCCCCCTTCTGGGAGTCCCAGCCCGAGTTTCCCTTCTTAAAAGTGGGGCGTCATGGGGGGGGGCGGGGGGCGGCCATCGGAAGCCCCTTGGAAGAGGCCGGGTTCGTATCCGGGCGCAGGCATGGATTTGCAAAAGAGAGGATAGATTATTAAAAGAAAAAAGGATGGAAAACGTTGCATCCTTCTCCTCCTCCTCCTCCCCTTCCTCTCGTGCAAGCTTCGCGAATGCTTTTTTGTTTTCTTTTTTGCAAGGCGGCTGGGTTTTTTTAGAGCCGCCTCTGTGCAGGCGAAGTAGACACGGAGGTCGGGTTGCGGGGTAGGGGTGGGGGGGGGGGGAGGAGAAAGGAACTGAAGTTGGTCAATAGGTTGGGTATTGTAGTGTTGACTTGGTGCCGTACTCCGGGGTGCGGGGTTTGTCGCCGTTTTGTAGAAAAAGGGAGGTTCAAAAAGCACCACGCCATCACGGTAAGATGGGAAGGTTCCCCCCACCCTTTTTTAATTTTTATTTTGAAAGACTATTATATTACAATACAGTACACCCTAAACCCCCCCCCCTTTTTTAAGGTCTTTAAATAGGGGCATGATTTGAAGTACTGTATGGGGGTGGTGTTGGAGTGGATGACCTATAACGGAGGTCTTCAAACTTGGCAGCTTTAAAGACTTGTGGACTTCCAACTCCCAGAATTCTCCAGCCAGCAGGACTTCAATTCTGGGAGTTGAAGTCCAGAAGTCTTTAAAGCTGCCAAGTTTGGGAACCCCTGACCTATAAGGTCCCTTCCAACTCTCTGTTAATCGGTTAAATCTGAACTTCTGTTGCCTTCGGAAGTTGTGGGAGTTTCATCACTGGAAGCTTTCAAGAAGAGATTGGGCTGCCATCTGGAGGAAATGGTGTAGGGTCTTCCTGCTTGGGCAGGGGGTTGGACTTGATGACCTACAAGATCCCTTCCAACTCTGTTAATATGTAATATGTAATCCTATCTAGAAGAAGAAGAGGGGGAAAAAAGGAAATTGCCCAAACTATATATCTTAGGATAGAACACACCTTTTGTTTTTTTTAAAAAATGCTGTTTACCCCTTTCCTGTCCCTATGATAAACCAGTAATAAGATTAAATGACTCCTCTTTCTGAAATACTGCTACAAAATATCGTCTGCACAAAATTATTTCTGGATGAAATATTTGAAGATTGTTTGGGGCAGTTATGGCATACCAAGAAAGGAATCTGTCCATTCTTTCCCCCCCTCCACCTTTTCCCTTGATGTTGGCCACTCACAATATTTTGTTTTAAACAATTAATGGAGAAAATATTGTCTTTCAGAAAAGTCAGGGTTGTGACAAAAAGAGCACACAATTTGCCTGTATCTAGATGAGTTAATCAACAACTGAAATGGGATGCTTATTTCAGAAATAAGGTGTCACCTCATTGGTAAGCATTTGGTGTTCTCAATCAATACAAAATTCTGACTATTTATGAGTTAATAACATATATGGTTTCTGGGAATTGTTGGTGTTCTTGTCAGGATGTTGGCTACAATTACGTTTCTGAGCTAATATAGTGAATGGGATAAAATTCTCGTAATACAGGAAATGTTCATTCTCGTTGTAAGAAGTAATGTACTTGGAAATTGCAATTCTGTTGAGTGAATTCAACTTCAGAGTAATTTATGTCCCCATTTTTCCTTTCTTATTATACAAGTGCCCAGTTTCCTTATGAAGAAAATGCATTTTGAAAACATGCCTATAAGCACCTGCTGTTACCAAGACTCTGAATATGCTCACAGGGTGAGCCACAAAACTTCTGTTGGAAAGAATTCTAAATGAGGCCTGCTCTCCAAAGGGATAAGGTAGAGGTCGGAGCTGGACAATTTGCAGTTATTGATATGGGGAAAGCAATATCTAGAAAGTGCCCAGACTTTATTCACTAATTTTATTTACTTGTAAAAATATCCTTTGGTTGCCTTTTGAGGCACAGTAGAGAATGAAATTTGGTAGCATAACAATAAATTCTCTCTTCTGCCCCACTTTACCCCAAAATTTAGTCAAAATATAAATTTGCAGGACTTTTCTAGTGCAGTCCTTGAAGGTGTGATTGATTACAACAGGGAAGACGATTGGTCCTCTACTTCCATTGATAGAAGCAGTTTCTTTGGTAGTAAAGTGCCATAATACATTAAATGCAATCTTATAAACTGTTTGAGAGTCAGTTTTGTTACATTTGATACTGCTTACATGCTTTATGAAGTTAGTTGGTCTTTTTCAAATTAGTTCAACAGAAAGTTTAATCAGTGGAACGACTTGCTTCCAGAAGTTGTGGGTGCTCCATCACTGGAGGTTTTTAAGAAGAGACTGGACAGTCAATTGTCTGAAATGGTATAGTGCAGTGATGGTGAACCTTTTCGGCACCGAGTGCCCAAACTGGAACATGTGCCGGAGTTCTGGAAACTCGAAGGCCAGCTGGTTTCGCGCCAGCCAGCTGGTCTTCGTGCGTGCTGGAGCCCCAGAAAGATCAGCATGCACGCTGTAAACCAGAGGAGCAGCTGGCGACAGCGCGCGTGCCCACCGAGAGGGCTCTGCGTACCACCTCATGCATGCCATAGGTTCGCCATCACGGGTATTAGGGCTTCCTGCCTGAGAAGGGGATTGGACTAGAAGACCTCCAAGGTCCCTTCCAACTCTGTTATTCTGAAAGATAGTTTAACACTTTCAACATTTTAACATAATTTCTAATGAATATTGACAGCAAAACACAGGTAATGTCTTGTGATCATCTGTCATAGCTTTGTGGCAGCTTTGTAAATACCTCTTTGCCTAAGAGCTGTTTTAAAGTACCGGTAGCTAATTGAAGACAATAATAGTGTTGATTCTAACACATTTCTTGGAATGAAAGCTTGACTTAACTTGATGAAACTCACGTGCCTAAAAATGGGTTGTGTATTCTTTTATGCTCTGTATTATCGATAGCAGCGAATGTGAAACTGGGCTAACAAATTACTAACTTTGTTTTGCTAGTTTTAACTTTTTGCAGCTTTCATTGTCTGGAAATGAGGCAGTCAGATTTTTTTTTGCCTGTGCAGATTTGCAGAATCTTTCTTATACCTGTTAAGAATTCAAGAATACTGCCAGTTTTGTATTCTGAAAGGTAGAAGAGTTTATTTTTTACAGCTTACTGTCTGCATCTTTAAAATAGCAACATTTTGTGCTTGATCTTGCAGAAATCCTAATAAAATAGATTGCTGTTGTTCTTATAACATGTAAGGGGAATTGAAACTGTACTTGACTTGCCCAAGGCCACCTATTACTAATATGGTAATTGAGTCTGCATTTGAATGTGTCATATTTACTTGTGCATATTAAAACTAAGGCAGTTCATTAACATTTCTGCACACTAACAGCTACAGTTTAAAAAGTGCAATGGGTTTTAAGATACCACTTTTTCATCTATATATGAAGATTTATTTGGATTTCTGATTGCAGAACTACGTGCTAAATATTTCTGTTATCTAGTAAGACATTTCATAGTGTAAAGTGGGTTGAGCAGAATCGGAATTGAGATACTTGACTTAGGACCACAATTGAGCCCAACATTTATGTTGCTAAATGAGAAATTGGTTGTGAGCTTTGTCCCATTTATAGGAGCATTAGCCCAGAATGGAAACTTATCCAATATCTGACATCCTGGTACCCATTCTGAACACAGCAGAGTTGAGAGAGAGAGACCCTGACTGTGTCTGTCAAGATTGTAGGGAGACTTAGAGAAGAACAAAGGAGACAGACTGAGAAAAAAGAAAAGAAAAGAAAATTGAGTGGAAGAAGAGGTTATTAGGAAAAGCTTGTGCAGAAACAGGCAATGCTTTAGTTAAAGGGCAGGGAAGATGAGGAAGATAAGTTACAAGACAGTATATCAGTTGGTTGACTTGAGACTAAAAAGTGTGGCCAAGACTAGGATTTTCTAATTTGGGGGCAGGGAAGAATAAGGAGTTCTGGAAGTTTTTTTTAAAAGAAAATATGGCAGATTTTTTTTTTACAGTTTGTTTTACAATTTTGTTTCTTGCCTCAGTGGCAGGAAAACGTACGCGTTTTAGCAGATATTGTAAAAAATAGAGGCTGTTTGCATCTCAGGTTCTCTTGTGAGTAGGGTAGGCAAAAGACAAGATTCCATTTACAAGGGGAGGGTCTTCCTTGGGTGCTTTTCAAAGCATCCCCTTCCTCCTTGACATTAATGTCGATGCTCAACAAAAGTAAAATAGAATAAGCTGTAGCAGTAAAATAACCCCCTTTCTCTATTGCTTTTCAGCAGCCAAAATAAAAGGTATGCACTTGTAATTCAGAAAGATAGTCAAGAGCCATTGGTATTAGTAAGCATTGATAACCTGTCCCCTTTTTTAAACTATTGAAATTGGCTGCAATTACTGTCAGCTGGCAGTAAATTCCACATGTGTTGTATGAATAAGTGTTTCCTTCTCTCCCTACATTTATCTAACTTTGAGAAACAGAAGATAACTCTTCATATTATCTAAACAATGTGTAAATTTATGCACCAGTATGTTTTTCCTTGCTCTCCCTTTGCTCCAAGCTGAATAGCTCTAGTTACTACTCCAGCTGCCTGATTATTTGGTTGCCTCCTTTTTTTTTTTTTTTTTTGCATCTTGTTCAGTGTCTATCATAACCTTAAGGTGCAGTGGCCAGAGCTGTATACAATACTCCAAGTGTGTTCTTGCCATGGATTTGTATAAAGACATTACTGTATTGGCAGTTGGGTCTTCAAGTGTGGAATTCGACTTTTTGCAGCTTTTGCACACTGGGTTGATACTTTTATTAAGCTATACATCATGACTTGTAAGTTGCTTTCCTCCAACATAACGTTCATTTACCTGGTCTGAAGAGTTTCTTTTAAAGTTCTTCGCATTCCCTTTGGAATTGTCAGTAAGCATGCTTCTTCACTACTCAATCCTAACTCCAGAGTTGTTACATATAAGTTTGAACTCACCAGCTCCCAACACTGATCCCTGGAGAAACCAGTTTGCACATCTAGCCAGAATTAGAATTGCTTATTTGTTTCTGTTCTCTGCATTCTATTTTTAATTAATCGCCAATCCATCAAACTACTGGTCCTCATAACCCATAGCAATTGAATTTGTTCACGAGCCTTTGATGAATGGATTTTTCAAATACCTTTTTAAAAAATGGAAATATGTAATATTTATTGGACCATTTTTGTCCATATGGTTGTTGATGCTTTTAGGTAAATCTTCAAGATGAGTGAGGTAAGACTTTTATCTTTGTCACATTGATTCTTTTTTTTATAAAGGTTCGTTCTTTGTGTTTGCTTATTTTCTTTTTGAACTCTCTTTAACCATTTCTTAGATGTTAAAATGATTTAACTTCAACTCTGTGATCTCTTTTTAAACTTCAGGGCCACATTTTCTATTTTCCAGTCTCAAAGACAGATTGTAAAAGGGAAATTATGTATTTTTGTGAAAGATCAACTATTCCATAAGTAAGTTCAAGAACTCTTGGGTGGGTGTCCTCCAGACCTAGAATTGATTTATTTTTAGTTTGGCTTATAACTTCAGTTAACATTGCCTCCGTTTGCCTAAGTTCATCTGAAAGTCTTCTTGAAAAAGTGTTGTATGCAGGAATCTGTTCTAAATCCTCAGTAGCGGAGACTGACTCATTAAGCTTCGCTGCTGTTTTTCTATCTTTATTAGCACACTTTTAATGCTCCTTCTCTGATTGGTTTCCTATTCTGAATGTGAAGAAAATGTTTTTCATCTTAGTTTTCTTTGCAAAATGTTCTTCTAACCATTTTTAGGAGGAGGCATATTTTATTGGGTGCCTGGGAAATGCCCACCCAGCCAGGGAGGAGGCAGGGAATTAGCCACAAATCCTTGCGCAGTAAACGATCCAGACCTGACACCACTAAACCTCATAGAGTCTTAACTTATCTGTTCCCAAGTCAAGACAAGTAAAACTTTCTGGGGATATTTCTGTATCATAGGCCGAATATAATAAAAGGGCTATTTATTTATTTGCATCCTGCTTTTATTATTTTTGCAAATAACTCAAGGCGATGAACATGTCCAACACACGTTCTTCCTTCTGTTTTCCCCTTTTTTTTCTTTCTCCTTCTGTGTAGGCTTTCAGGTAATCCTCACCTTAACAACCTTTTGTTCAGCTATTGTTTGAATTTACTATAATGCTGGAAAAATGGACATCTATGACTCATGGCCGAAATTATGACCGCTGCAGTGCCCTGGTAGTCATGCAGTTGAAATTCCAGTGATTGGCAGCTCACCTGCTCTTAAAACCACAGGGCACTTCAACCCTCCCCCATCTCTTCCCATCAATGCTCTTTTGGACCTCCTGCTGCCTCGGCTTGTTTGGTGACAAGCAATCCCAGAACTGCACAGGTATGGGGCCGCTTGCCATGCCCCCGGAAGGCTCAGCTACCTCAGCAAGTGCCAGCCTACGAAGCATTCATGGTTGCTTTGAAAAGAATTCTATTTAAGAATTATTATTACAGATAGTCCTCAACTTACAACCCCAATTGAGACCAAAATGTATGTTGCTAAGTGAGATATTTGTTAAATGAGTTTTGCCCCATTTTACGGCTCTTCTTGCCACATTTTTTAAGTGAATCACTGCAGTTCTTAATAACACGGTTCTTAAAGCGAATCTGATTTCCCCATTGACTTTGGTTGTCAGAAGGTCGCAAGAGGGGATCACATGACTCCGGGACATTGGAGCCATCATAAAAGTGAGTCAGTTGTCAAGCATCCGAATGTAAATCACGTGACCATGGGGGGATGCTGCAACTATCATAGGTGTGAAAAATGGCCATAAG